ATAAACCAAGTACTCTTACTCGCGGTTTCTTCGCACTCCAACAGTCTTCACTCCGCAGCAATCCCCCTTCAGTTTCCAGCAACACCATTTCACAAATTTCTTCCAGCCAATAATTCCTTTGAAATAAAAAATTATGTCACAAAATATTACTAAGGAATTATTTGAATCCCAGTTTTTCTTGATACCATTCCTACAACCATATTCAAGCTGGCAAGTCAAGAAAGCTTACTAACATAATCCCAAATGCTGTATATATACCCTAAATCTAAGCTCTTTAATGAGGTATAAAGTGATTTGGTTAGTTCAAGCTATATGTACATCTCTAAGCATGTTTTTTCGTCTGCTTGTGTGTGTTTATGTGCCTTCATATGTTCATATATGTGCCCAAATTTATTACAACATAACACAATGTCTCTTCTTAGTCATCAAGATTTGATTACCACTACCACCCCTTTTTTCCTTATATTTGGAGAAATCTAAGTCTTAAAATCAACTCAAGGAGTAGTGGCAACAATAAAGAGATAACTAATATTAATGCTATTTGTTCTAGTAAAAATAAGGTAATTAATTTGGCCAGTATGCCTATAACTGATTATGAGAAGCTCCTCTTGGAAAAAGGTCTCTACTTTGTCCTCCCAAATGAGGCGAATCATTCTCTGGTGTTAATAATGGAATTAATTACTTTTATGGACAGGCTGCCAGAAGAAGCAATAATTCCAAATAAATCTTATGATTTGAATAGGATTCCTAAATATTTGCACAAAAACGATAAGGGTGATGTAGTAGTCATCACGGATAGGCTAAATTATGTATAAAAATGATGATCAATTTAAAAGACTAAGAAAATACACATTTTTAGCAAATTATCCAACGGGGGAACTTAAAGCCAGACTTAAGAAATCGCTTCACATTTGTGTAAGCAAAGAAAAAATGGAAAAATAGAAAATGAATTCACTTCTTCAAAGGGATGCAAGGGCAACTTCAATTTACGACCTTCCTAAGAAACACAGAGAGGGAATTCCTTTTAGATTTATTGTTAATAATAAGGGAAGTATGGTGTATAGGATTTCAAGATTTGTATGCAGACAATTATGGAAAGTTGCTGAGTATTTGAAATATTCTGAGACGAATTCATATGAAATTGTTTGTATTTGGGAAAGGTAACTTTGGGCGAGCTTCGTTGTAGTATCAACGGATGTTAACATTACAGTTCAGAAGACTATTGAAGTACCCGCACTCAGCCTTGATGAACGCACGGAGATTATTGAGGAAGCAAATCTGAGCAGAGGCTCAATCTTGAGACTGTTTAATCTATCCATGACTAGCATATACTTCATATGTAATGAAAAGGTTCAAGGCCTTACAATATGATCTTGCTTCGCTTGAATTTTAGCAAATAAGTATATCTCAAGGATGGAGGGACGCTTCATTGAAGAGGTAAGATTGACACAAAAAGTGTTAGTTAGATATATAGATGACTACCTTGTCATATTTCTCGATTCGTAGCTTGAGTTTAGTTGTAACGATGATACTTTGCTCTGATAACATTCGCCATATGGCGCACGAAAGCTTAGCAACTTTTCATCGAAATCGAAGGAGATTACATTGGAAACAACGTCAGCATGAATGTTCCAGTAAAGCCAATTGACAGCCGGACAAGAGGAATCCGCCGTCGTCTCCTGGTGGATTCGACCTTCGAATCTCTTCACCAAACACTCTCACTCGAAATGGAAGTAAGCTCAACAATTATGAAATATGAGATTCTTTAAAACCCAACTTTTCTTCGCATATACTTTGCCATATGACAGCGTGATAAGGGTAGTCTAGATACTTTCATGTCCTTAATTAGCCAGGGTGATTGTGATGTTGAGTTTACAATGGAGATAGGGAAGGATAATAGTTGACCATCTTTTGATGTTTTAGGGATAATACCAGGAGAGAAATTGAGCAAGGATGTATATAGAAGTTGTTGAGCTTACTTCCATTTCGAGTGAAAGTGTCCGATGAAGAGATTCGAACGTCGGTTCCACCAGAAGACGACGGCGTATTCCTCTTGACCAGCTGTCGATTGCCT